TCTGCTTGGGAACCCTGCAGCCCAATGGTATCAATGTGGATTTCACAAGCTTCAAAATCTCCCCTCCCCCTACCGCATCCCAAAACCAGTCCAGCTCGTCCCCGCCTCCCTAACCTGTTCTTCCTCCCACCTATCCCCTCCTCCCACCTCAAGCCGCACCCCCATCTCCTACCGACTAACCTCATCCCGCCCCCTTGACCTGTCCGTCCTCCCTGGACTGACCTATCCCCTCCCTAACTCCCCACCTACACTCACCTTTACTGGCTCCATCCCCGCCTCTTCAACCTGTCTGTTTCCTCTCCACCTATCCTCTCCTCTATCCATCTTCTTTCCGCCTCCCCCTCTCTCCCTATTTATTTCAGAACCCCCTTCCCCTCCCCCATTTCTGATGAAGGGTCTAGGCCCGAAACGTCAGCCTTTATGCTCCTATGATGCTGCTTGCCCTGCTGTGTTCATCCAGCTCTGCACCTTGTTGTCTCTACACCTTGTTGCATCGACTTTTCTGCTCCTCTGATCCTGCCTGACCTGCTGTGTTCCTCCAGCTCCACACTGTGTTACACACTATCTATTGTTAGCCACTAACAGTCTCCATTACAGTTATTCACCCTCCTGGCCAGATTGTTATCAGCTCCTTTGTCTGTCCAACTGTCTTCTGTCTCTTTGGGCTCTATCCTCACCTATAGTTTACTCCTTATCCCCTCCTTCCACCTTATCTTCTGCGTATAAACCAACATTTTCCAAACTACCATCAGTTCTGAGGAAGAGTCGCCGAACTCAAAATGTCAACTCTGATTTTTCTTCACAGATGCTGCCATACTGTTGAGTTTTTCCAGCAACTTCTGTTTTTGTTCCTGGTTCAGCTTCAAGTTCCACTTCTGTGTTGTAACATATCCAAACAGGTTCATTACAATAACCACATCCAATTGCTGCTAATACAGATACTGGAAGACCTGAGCCAAAACTATTGAATATAAAACAATATTAATTTCCTCAATAATATCCAATACATCTGGTTTGCTTTGAACAGAATTATTGGTATGCACCAATTATTTGATCAGATTACACCCATCGTCAACAACCATCACTTCCACATTCCAGGCACTCAGCTCCATGAATCAGTCATTTGCTGTGTATAACCTGAAATCAGCACCATATGGGAGGAGAAAAACTACCAACTAATCCCTCCCACACCCTTTCAGTTTCTGGGAGGCAGGTTGCTTAAACAGCGCGCCAAACAACCAGCAAACAAAAGTTGGTGCTTCAGATCACGGAGATCGTTAAAACACCTCTACTTCTGCAAGAAACAGAACACAAGTTCTTCTGACCCAATAGTTTTGAGACGTGAGCACATTTCCTGAGCCGTATGCAGCTTGCGCTGAAAGGCTTCAAGCTTTCTCTGACCCTGCTGGGTGTGGTCTTGTAGGTAAGTGTATAAGAAGCCAACCACGAAAGTCGGGGATTTACTGTCAAAAAGAGCTGCTGAGCGAATTGCTGAATACAACAGAGAGAGAATGGCAGAGGACCCCAAAATCGAGCTGTTCATTAAGGTAAGAGCTGATCTGGAAGCATTCAAGTCTTATGTCAAAATTTATTTTAATTTTAATTTATTTAAACTTCCTCCCTTGATCAAATTTGAAATGCAAGTCTGTTGTAAAAACGATAGAACATAGAACATAGAACATTACAGCGCAGTACAGGCCCTTCGGCCCTCGATGTTACGCCGACCTGTGAAACCAATCTGAAGCCCATCTAACCTAAACTATTCCATTATCATCCATATGTTTATCCAATGATAGGAATTATCCAACTGGCTTTGAAATGATAGCAAATTTGTTTTGGTCTGCTCTTCATGTAGTTCTCTCTGCAGAAAATGCTTTACCACTCTGAACTTTGCATTTCGAATAAGTGAGAACAATTGGCATTTCTTGCTCATGAAAGTTTAATCATTTCTTCAGAGGCCAAGCAGTTTCTGTTGTGGATACTTTAGCCTAATGCACGATCCTAAGAAAGCTCTTTCCTGACATATAATTTCTCTATTTGCTTTCTGCTTGCTTAGATCTACCTGTTTTAATTTGAGGTAATAGTTCCAGGTGGCTTGATCTCTGCCATCTATTGTTCAGCTTTAAGAGGTTCCGCCCTGAGATGCGTTCTTTCAGACAGTGTACAAGAATAATTTTGTTTTGATTTTCATTTCCATCTTTTAACCTTTCACACATCCCTGTCACTGTTTGTTTACAATTGCTCCCCACGTATTCCAATTGGTTGATGAAATGCATTTAGCACTGTTTGCAAGACCAAATTATTTCAATCCATTATTTAGCACATTTACATTTCATGTTCAGTTTCCCCTGTTTCTGTCTCATTAGTCAGTCTAATATATTTCTATCAACTTTTAATCTTCCATCTGTACCCTTCCCTTAATCGGATGGTTTGCACTAATCTCTTGAGCTTGTTGTTTTGTTTGCCTTTGAGAGTCACACTAACATCTTGGTGTACTGATAAACCATTGGAACCTCTTTGAGGACTTGCATAAAAAGGATAAATAATTGAACTTGTTACTAAGTTACAGACTGGATTTTAATCGGAATTTAGGTTGGTTAGGTATAGAGAAGTGAACATACAGGTACAAGTTGCGGACTGAAATCTATCGAAGGGTTGATTTGTATAAAGGGTCCTCTGAGTGATTTTAGGATTAGATTGCTAGCAAGGTTTCTTCATTACAGGCAGAGCTCTTAGTGATATTTGATGGCAGCACCATCTGTTCTCTCCAGTGCCTCCTGTTGCTTACGCCTGATATTATGGATTCTGAAAAAATTAATGTTGGCAACCGTATTATTAACTCATTGGGAACTAACTATACAATCTACACATTTTCAAAATGAACATTACTCTTTCCAAGGAGTTAAAGGCACCAATGAGGTGTAGCAAAGTGTGACCAACTCCTAGTTTTGTTTTTGTTTTTTCTCGGGCATATGGACATCACAAGCATGGTCAGCATTTGCTATTCATCGCTAGTTGCCCTGGAGAAGATGATGGAAGCTGCCTTCTCATATAACTTACAATGTTGCAGCAGCAAAAGCAGGAAAATACAAGCAGATATACCTTTGACAAATGTGATGAAAATAAATTATCTCAAACCTGGCAAGAGGACAGGCCTGTGAGTTCAAAGTTGCAAATGATAACTAGTACAGGTTGGTGAGGTGGAAATGACGACTGGGGATTACAAAACAGCAAGTATATGTGTCCCATTAATTGTAACCTGTTGTAGTACTTTCTGACCAACATAGAGCATTACTACAAAACAGTTTTCACAGTTATTCTGCGCTCTTACCATTTAGTCTATTGTTCTTCTCTGGTTCTTCATTAACTCTCTCCAGCTGCGGAGTATTGTTCCATTTGGGAACTTTCATTCACTGCTGATGTTGTATGAGATACTGACTCCTCATATGATTCAAGACATTGTGTTTACAGTGCCTGTGTTTCTGTTTAGTCACTTCTAGTATTTTTCTGTCCCAATTGGACTTCTCACTCGAGTTGACCTCTCCCTGGTATTTCCCAGTTACTCTCAAAGCTGATCATCTTATTTAGCACTCTGCATCTGATGTAGAAAAAACACATTAAACATAGGAGCAGGAGTAGGCCAATTGGCCCTTCAAGCCTGTTCTAACACGCAATAGGATCATGGCTGACCATCCAACTCAATAACCTGCTCCCACTTTCTCCTCATACCCTTTGATCGCTTTAGCCGTAAGAACTACATCTACCTCCTTCTTCAATGTTTTGGCCTTAACCGGTTCCTGTGGCACAGAATTCCGCAGGCTCACTACTTTCTGAGTGAAAAAGTTCCTCCTCATCTCAGTTTTAAATCATAGAATCCCTACACAGTGGAAGCAGGCTATTCAGCCCTTCGAGTCCACATTGGCACTCCAAAGAGCATCCTACCCAGACCACCACTGCTCTTGCCCATCCCTGTAACCTTGCATTTTCCATGGCTAATCCACTCACCTTACACATCCCTGGACACCAGGCATTTTAGCATGGCCAATCCACCTGATCTGCACATCTTTGGACTGTGGGAGCAAACTGGATCACCTGAAGGAAACCCACGCAGACATGGGGAGAATGTGCAAACTCCACACAGACAGTTGCCTGAGGGCAGAATCAAACCTGGGTTCCTGGCGCTGTGAGGCAGCAGTGCTAACCCGCTAACCTTAAACTGTGATCCCTGGTTTTGGGCTCCCCAGTCATTGGGAACATCCTTCCTGCATTAACCCGTCCAATCCTTTTAGAACTGCTTAGGTTTCAATGAGATCCCCCACCCCTCATTCTCCTAAACTCCAATGAATATAGTCCCAAACAATCATGTTTCTCTTTATTATCAGTTGTGCCATTCCAGGAATCAGATTGTAAACCTTTGTTTCCACTCCCTCCATAGCCAGAACATCTTTCCTCAGATAAGGAAACCACAAAGATGCACAATAGTCCTGGTGTGGTCCCTGTCTGGCCCTAAATGAATGACAACTGCCACAAAATTGTGGATTTTTTTGAAGACAAAATGATGAGAATTCATTCTTTGCGAGAATACGATTAATTTGGTGACTTCTCATAAAAAGAAAATTAGATGTTCAATTCAAGTTAATTTTCACCGTCCCTATTGTGCTGTGTCTCATCAGTCATACATTGTTAATTTAATTTTTGTCGAGTTTTACAAAAGGGAGTTTTGTGGACAACTTTGGAAAGGATTCAAAACATAAACAGTTGGGTCATTAACGTCCTGATCTTCCACATGCTCCACCACCTTTTTCACTGGTGGCCCAAAAACAACTTTTAGTTGCCAGGCTTCCCCTTTATCACAGGCCTCCTCCTGCCAACTGAAAGATAGTGGCCATTGATTGCCTCAGTTGGCATGATGCCAGGCGGGTTGCTGAAAGCCTTGCCCACTGTCCAGTAAATTGTGGCCAGGTCAGGAAGGCAGTGGGAAAACCAATGTATTTACATGATCCCCCTCCTCAGCTGTAAACATGAATGTGGGGGAGTGCCAACTGTTGCCCCGTGTGACAATGCGTTGAGCTTTAAGAGGAATCAGGGAATGAGAATTGAGAGGGAGGTATTGGTATAGAAGCAGCTGTCACTTTGGAATTGATGTTTGGATGTTGTCAAGTGTTTTAAGCAGGGGCACGTACTCATTCATTTGGAATATGCTGTGTCGAAATGTGAAAGGATTCCATTGTCCAGTGTAGTCCTGAAATCCACAGCTCTGTGAGCATGTTCAACAATACGATTTTTAATATTGAGTTCACAGCACAGGAATCAGTTCAAGTGGTCTGTGCCTGTGTTTATACTCCTCCTCGCACTCTATGTCATTGAAACCTACCAACATATCCTTCTATTCCTCTCCCTCTTGTACACAACTAGCTTCACTACTGTTTCAGAACTATTCCTTGTGGTAGGTCATTCCACAAGACCAGGCAGTATTTTTCATGAGCTCTGAACTGTTTCCTCCATATTGGCATCCAGATAGAGCTGCTATCTTTAACAATCACCCAGCCAACTTTTTGAAAATTGGTCTTGCCATCCCGTAACTCTCAAATAAGTATCTTCCAGTTTTATATCTTTCAATGTTGCAACCAGATTTTCAGGTGAGGCAGGGAACAGTGTTTTCTTGTGCCAAGTGGTATAGGGAGTTCTAACTTACTACATTTCAATGAAGACACCCAACATTCAGCACTGTCATTGCAGAGTTATAAATGATTGGCAGTGCATCGTTCAGGAGTATATCTCTGTAAAATTGTCCCTGTGTACAAAAAGAGCAGAGTTAATATTAAAACGTGTAACAAGGTAGTAATGAATAAATGCCCCATGGAGGACTACAAGACATGCCTTGCTTCAAACACACAACTCCTTAAGATGAAGGAAGTCAATGTTGAAACAATTGAAGACCCAAGTGTCATTCTTTCAGTTCCTTTATGGCAGAGTCAATTTTGTTGGCCTCAGCTGTGCACCTTAGTCCCTATAAACACTTGATTTGGTGGTTGACACTGGTATTCAAATGTTTCACTATCCAGCATCAATGCTCCTTCTCCTTAAGGATTATGATATTTTCCATATTGCACAACAGCATTCCTTGTCCACTGGCTTGGTGAGACTTCTAGCCATTATAGATACTTAGAGACAAGATCCAACAACTTGTCCTATTTTGGGTTTGTTCAACTCACCGAGGCTCTTCCCACAGGTCTTTCCAAATTCCTGATCTCTACCATCTAGAAGGACAAGGGTAGCAGATATAGTGTCACTGGAAAATCCTCCCTCCCAACTGGTGCATCTATACCACATGGACTGCAGTGGTTAAAGAAGGCAGCTCACCACCACCTTCTCAAGGGCAATTAGGGATGCTAACCCAGCCAGCAAAACCCACATCCCATGAACAAAATAAAACTGCAAGTTCCCTTACTTTTCTCAGCATCAACTAAATGTTGAGGAAAGGTAGCTTTCTTGTTGATGTTATTTCACAAACATTTAAAAGCATACCTTAAAGCTTACAAGGCTGGTATTTCTGGCTCACAAAAAACTGAATAATGTACAACTATTTGATTTTACATTTGAAGTGCTTTATTGCCTGTCAAAGCAGTGAACTAATCTTGTTCAGTGCTATTTAATCTTTTTACAACTGCCAATCAGAAAGTGACTGAGCAAAATCAGTGTGACAGTTGTGTGGAATGCATCAACGTAGGGTGAGGTAGTGCGAGAGAATCTGCTCTTTGTGCTGTCCCAGCTTATTATTTGTAAGAATTAACTAGATCGTATCATGGAACAGTGAAAGGTCTGTGACTTCGTGCTGAGGGACACGCTAAAGCTTGAGGTAGTTGCCACAAGGGCTCAGTGGAGAAAAAAACACCTTCCAGGACCCTCCCAGCAGAGTGCTCTGTGGACTGGAAGCAATATAAAAGTCCTTAGGCTGAATGCACCAGAAAGTATTTGGCATGTAATGTAAATGTACATTGTAATGGTAACCCACAATGGCAGGTATTATCGGGCAGCTCATGTAATTTATTGAGAGGAACCTTTCCTGCACATGGCAGGCAATATCACATTTAAACTGTTATTTAATAAACTTTTACAATTTTTGTGAATGAAGCACGTTTTGGACAAACCTGAGCGTATCATGAGATTATTGTACGAGTATAGCAAGATAATAGAATGAGGGTGTTAGAGAGAACGGTGCCCAGAAATCGCACAGGATAGAATTGGGAGAGTTTTTATTCTGTGACATGAGTTTACTGCAGGGATGCCAATCCTTCAGGATTCACCTGGAGTCAGGTATTTATAATCGATCTCCAGGACACTGTCGTGTGTAACCCTGAAGGAAAATCGCAGGGACACTAACAAAGATTGTTTCTTTGTTCATTTTGTTCAAACGTTTCTTTTTGCCAGATGTAATGATATTGCAAATATGAAAGAAAGGCTGTTTGACTGACAGTCAAGCATTCAATTTTTGCATTACAATTAGCATAGGTGGACTGAGTAGCCCAAAAACTGGCCGACTAATGTTTGTAGAGTAGGACAAGGCATGACATGACATGAATTACTTTTAATCACGGTTGACATCCTGAGTTAGCTGGAGTTGGGACATCGTCTTGAGGTTGTACAGGACATTGCTGAGGCCTCTTCTGGAGTACTGTGTTCAGATCTGGTCGCCCTGTTATAGGAAGGACATTATTAAGCTGGAGAGGGTTCAGAAAAAATTTACCAGCATATTGCCGGGTATGGAGGGTTTGAATTATAAGGAAAGACCGGGACATTTTTCAATTGAGCATAGGAGGTTGAGGGGTGACCTTATAGAGGTTTATAAAAACATTAGGGGTATAGATACGGTAATTGGCAGGTTTGGGGATTTCAACATGATGGGACATATTTTTAAGGTGAGAGGAGAAAGATTTTAAAAAAAACATGAGGGGCAACTTTTTTACACAGAGAGTGGTTCATATGTGGAATGTACATCCAGAGGAAGTGGTGGATGTGGGTACAGTTACAATATTTAAAAGACATTTGGATAAGTACATGAATAAGAAATATTTGGAAGGACGTGGGCCAAGAGTAAGCAGGTGGGACTAGTTTAGTTTGGGATAATGGTCGGCGCGAACTGGTTTGACCAAAGGGTCTGTTTCCATGCTCTGTAACACTGTGGCAGAATTTGGACCAATGCCCAGTTCTGCCAACTAGCTGCCCTCTTCTTTCAGTTGTGGAATTTTAATGGTGGTGGAACTTTATTTGAAAAAAGATGTTGTCTTTGAAAAGTGCGGAGAGGAATAGAAGGAGCTACTGTTTGAGGCTGGATTTGCAGAGAGCTGGGCGATGATGTCTGATTCGGGGATTCCCCTTCACTGTCCATGCACAGTTGCATATAGTACAACTGAGGGTGAGCTAAATTTGAACCCAGACCCTCAGAGTAAAAAGCTGGAGATCACTGCAACCTTTCCATCTACCCCATCCCATTTCCCATTAAAATTTGTACATTTATTTTCCCAGGGAATTTACTGATTGAATCATATTTCTGTGATTGAATCAACTAATGTCTGTTGATGGCTCTCTGTATACCTAAGCACCAAATGGTTTCCACAGTGACTTGTAGAAAAAAATTTGTTGGTTCTTTGAACTATTTTCTCCAGCTATTTTCTACTTACCTTGGAATGAAGTTGTGATAATGGCAAGTTTAACCATCCTGCATGCCTGAAATGTTAAAGACAATAGAAGTCACGCATCAGCTTCATAAAACACTGAATCATACTTGGCATGTCACCTATTATCACATTCCTACATGTGCATTGGCTGCAAACTGTTTTGGATTATCCTGAGGATGTGAAAGTTTCTGATGAAATGTAGATTCCTAAGGAAATTCTTGACACAAACTGAGCCCTAGTTTTCTGTAAAATGCTTTGTAATAATTATCATAGCATTATATTCCATCTGTCGCAGGAAGTTATTATCTAGTGGCCACATACTGTCCAACATGCCTCCATTTCCAAAGCAACAACATTTTTATATAGTTATGCAACTTCCTCATGCATAACAGTGTTACTTCATTCCTGAGAAATTCGCATGGTAGTCTTATCTGATCTAGCATATTTTGCGAGGCGACAATCTTAAAGGCCCAGTGATTTCATCACTGTGAGCCAAAACAACCAGTTGATTTTATTAAAATAATGCCTTGCATGAGCGCTCAGCTTTAAGACTGATAAAGGCATGTTAGTGAAGAATTCTCTTTCTTATGTTCTCCTTTTTATGTATTTTCTGCCCCCTTCACCACACTGTCTCCCTCCTGCTCCAATACCATCCAAAGTTGCTGAGGCTTGGGCACCATATTTCAATAGAGCGTCTTCCTCAATCCCACTCTGTACTGTGCATATCATTTTCTTCAGACCTCTCTTTAATGCCATTTCTTTGTCTTTTAGCACACTTAATACTGACATCAAAATACCCGTAGTTATGCAAGCGTTTCTCGTTTTGAAGAGTTATAAAAAGTGCCAGGACTTTGCTGCAGCTAACTGAACAAAGGCCGCCATAACAACAAAATCTTTCCTTTTTGCACAGGCCAGCGATGATGGTGAGACCATTGGGAACTGTCCGTTCTCCCAACGTTTGTTCATGATACTCTGGTTAAAGAAAATTGCTTTCACCATTAACACAGTGGATATGAAGAGGTGGGTGCTGTTTCAGGTGAACTGAATGTTGATCCAGGACACAAGAGGATGTGACAATGGGCACTCTTGTAACTGATTACCATAAATGCCTGAACATTTAGTACACTCAAGTTCTATCTGCAACATCATTATCTATTGCCCTCCCCTCCAACTTGCCTCTTTCAGATTTGATTCTCATCTTTCTCTCTCCTGAACATCTCCAAGAGAGCCCTGACAATATTTCTATGCCAGTCTTTTATTTCACATGTTGTGCCTTCTTAAAGCAGTAGGCAGTGTGTCAGTCTCATAATTTGAAGGCCCTGAGTTCAGTCCTCAGAGAAGGCAAGCTTGAGAGCCTGGGGCTTTTAGGGATGGTATGATGGCTCAGTGGTTAGCACTGCTGCCTCACAGCACCAGAGACCTGGGTTCAATCCCAGCCTCAGGTGACTGTCTTGTGGAGTTTGCACATTCTCCCCATGCACAGGCTGGGTGGATTGGCCATGCTAAATTGCCCCCAGTGTTCAGGGATGTGTAGATTAGGTGGGTTATAGGGGGATGTGTCTGGGTGGGATGCTCTGAGGGTCATTGTGGACTTGTTGGCCTGAAGGGCCTGTTTCCACACTGTAGGGATTCTATGCTTTATGATGTTTAATTATTTGAGGAAGTTTGCTTTTTGCCAGTTACTGCAAAGAGCAAGAAATTATTAGAGAACGTGAAGTTTAATTCAGAGCTGATTGTCTTTAACTTATCAGGAAGGAATGGTCACTGGTGAACTTTCACTGTTTTATATTTCAGCTTGTGCATGGCTGATCACTTATGTGAACCTTAATCCAGTGAAATTTTACACTAAAGTTCCCATTTAATTCACAGTCCTTTCAACCTGGAGATGTTTTGCTACTTCTGCTTAACTGTAAAATGCCTTATGAAATCTGGATTCTCTTTTTTAAAATTTGTTTATGAGAATAGGGCATCACTGGCTAGGCCAGTATTTATTGCTCATTCCTATTTGCCCACAGGGCAGTTAAGGTTCAACCACATCGCTGTGGGTCTAGAGTCGTATGTAGGCCAGATCAGGTGAGGATGGCAGTTTCCTTCCCTAACTTACATTATGTTAGTGAATCAGATGGTTTTTTTCCTGACAATCGGCAATGGTTTCATGGTCATCATTAGATTCATATTTCTAGACTTTTTTTATTGAATTAAACTTCCAATCTGCTGTGACAGGATTTGAACCTAGGTCCCTGCTCATTATCTGTCCATCCCTAAACATTACCTGGGTCTCTGGATTAACAGTCCAGGGATAATAGCACATTAAGACAAGGTAAAATCTCAAGTCTTACCAGACCATATGGCTGCTCTCTTGTTAGGCTGGTGGTGGTTTAACCTGACGGTCAATATATCAGTTGCATTGAAACTGCTTTTTTGATAAGTGAACAGGATCGATGATGCATTCCTACATTTGAAAGACCAATTGGATGCAAATGTTTTTTGTTCTCTGCTGACCATTGGGATTCCCTGGGAAAGGAGTTGATGTAGTCTCAATTCAGTTCTTCCTGGCAAAGTGCTAATAACAGTTGGTGCAAATCAGATGCGAGCTGTTCATCTCTGAGTGATCATACTGATATATTCTGTGGTGTGCCAAGTCACGGTGTTATGGGAAATGTTGTTTTGATGTTAATCCCCTCAGCCACTGAACAGTATCTTTACTGCCACATTGCTTCATCCTTTCTGCTTGTTGTCTGCTGATGAGCCTCAGGTTTCATATAGGCCTTCGAGGTGTTTTGAAGCATAATCAATGGCCCTATATTCTCCCTTGCAGGAACCCAGACATGCTTAAGGATATTGCACCAGGGAGTCAGCTGCCTGTCCTCATTTACAACGGTGATCTTAAGACAGATAATAACAAAATTGAAGAATTTCTCGAAGAGGTTCTTGCCCCTCCCAAGTAAGTCATGACAGACCGCAATATGTTCTTCAGCACGTTTGCCTATTAGTCAAAGTTTAAAATGTGACGTGAAGTGATATTCTTCTGCCTCTTGGAGACAGAAAGAAGTTACTGGAGGTTTGGTAGGTGTGTCTCTGGGTACATGAGCAAAACTTTCTATCATAACCAACGGAGACAGTGGGAACTGAAAATGGCTGAGATGTCAGGTATGAGAGCATGAGAATTACAGGAGGAAACTCCCAGATAGAGAAGGGCATTGAAAACTCAATAACCAGAAAAGTTTAGAATTATACAGCAGAGCAAGAGGTCATTTGGCCCATCGTTGCTGTGTAAGCTTTTTGAAAAAGCTATCCAATTAGTCCCGCTCCTAGTCCTGCAGATTACTTCTGCTTAATTGTGCATCCAATTCCATATTGAATCCTGTCTATTGCAACTACAAAGGACTACAAGTACATTTCTCTCCACAGATATTGCCAGACCTGCTGCGTTTTTCCAGCAATTTATGTGTTCGCTGCAGATTTCCAGCACCCACAGTTCTTAATTTTATTGCACAGAGAAATATATCTGACCTGACTTTCTTACCAATTGCTTTAAGCCTATGTCTCTTATTTGAACAATTGAGACCATTTATTTCTCCTTATCTACAGCATCAAAGTTCTGCTGAACTTTTAACTTTATTTTTTCAGATTAAATTAGGAAGGACTTTAATGTTAACTATTACCTTATTTCTTTATTTTTCCACTTACTCAATGAAGATAATACTTAACTTTTTAACTGGGTTTCTCTTACTACATTGTACCTAAGTTTTTTATACCTGGATGTTGCCATGTGTGGTGACATTAGACACTTTTCACTGTATCCCTGTACTTTTGTACTTGAGTACACATGACAATAAAATCTAAATCTATATCATTTCTGAATTACATCTCCCCTTGACATTCTTTGTTTGTGGAGAACAATGTCAGTTTCCCCTGGACTATTCTTTCCCCTGAAGAACCTATTACCTTTTTTCAAAAGGCTCCATTGTGTTTTGTCTTGCTGTTGGACAAGTTGCAGAGCCTGAGGCATAACTGTTGCAGTTGTAGTTGGGAAATGAATGTGCTTTCATTGCTGAATGGTGCCTCATCGTTTCGGGAGCTCTTCTTTCTTTGACACAGTGGGAACACTTGTGGTAATAGCAATGAAACATTGTTCAAGGTGTTGCTTGTGAGTTGAAATGTCCTGCCAACAAAAACAAACCACAGCTATCTTTTGTGAAAATGTCATTCTCGAGTTATGCAACGGTTAACCTTGCCTGTGCTGAAATTTCCTTTAAGAGTTTGCATGCAGTAAAGCTGAACTATTCAGATATTCAGAGTACTATTCAGAAATGCTCATCTTTATTTCCAAATTGCTCCATTCCCTCGCCTCTCCAAATCTCGGCAGCCTCTTCCAGCCCTGCAATCTGCCTAGATCTCTTTGCCAATTCTAGTCTTTGATTTTCATCGTAACAAAAACAGAAATTGCTGGAAAAGCTCAGCAGGTCTGGCAGCATTTGTGGATAGAAATCAGAGTTAATGTTTCAGATCAAGTTACCCTTCCTCAGAACTGACTTTCACCGTACCACCGCTGTCTCTCCAATGATTGGTCCTGTGTAACATTTTAGGATGTTTTACAATGTTAAAGGCTGTATGTAAATGAACTTGCCGACAAAAACTCAAGGAACAAAAGTGATTTTGAAGACCTGAATACAATATCTTCCTTGTGGCTTCATAATCAGCAATTTCAGTATTGTACAAAATATTCCACAAACTCTACTTCACATACATTCTGAGGCCAAGCAGACAACTAGCTATGGATCAAAGGTGCCTTATTCTATGAAAAAGATTAGCTCATCAACTCTATACATGTGGATAACATAAACGTTTGTTGTTATAATTTGTGAATGGTTTTTTAAAGGGAATCTGAGCATCCTGGGAGAGTCAGTGTTTCTTGTTCATCTCTAATTGCCAATGAGAAGTGCTGTTAAGGAAAGGAGTTTTAGAATTTCAACCTAGCAACAGTGCAGGAACTGTGATGTAGTTTCCAATCAGAATGGTGGAAAGGAAATTGCAAATGTTGGGGCTCCTGAGCATCTGCTGCCCTTGTCCTTATACATGGTAAATGTCATGGGTTTGGAAAATGGTGTTGGAGGAGGCTTGTTAAGTTATTGCAGTGCATCTTGTAGATATTATATTCTGCTGCCATTTTGTGTCAGTGGGGGAGGGAGTGAATGTTTAAGATGGTGAATGGTGCATCAAGCAGCCTGCTTTGTCCTGATGGAGTTGAATGTTGTTCGAGCTGTACCCATCCAGGCAAGTGGGGAGTATTCCATCACACTCCTGACTTGTGCCTTGTAGATGGTGGATGGGCTTTGAGGAGTCAGGAGGTGGTTTACTCGCTGTAGGATTCCCTGACTCTGACCTGCTCTGAAAGCAAGCTGAGACCTCAGAGGACTTCAAGTAAAAGCAAAATTAGAAAAGGCGATGGGAAACTTTATCAATGGATTTGTTTGATTTAAGAGGGAAAATGTACTTAGTCTGAGTCAACTATTATTCAAGGTGGATTGAAGTGGCAAGACTTCATCTTTAGTCATTCACCTACAGCAGACTCAGTGCTCAGAGAACTGTAAAGGATTGTTGTCATGCATGTTTTATTGGAAGAATTAGTATCAGACTGCAACTCATACATGAGGATTTCAGGGAATTTACTTCGGAAGCAGGAGTCAAGTAGGTGACATGTTCTTCATTCGATCCGCAGTTGAATGGAGAGGCAAAAAGAGCAGCCAAGACTGTGAAGTCTGTGACACCTCAGAATCCAGATTGGGAATTAGCTTGACTCAGTTACAGAGCAACAGCACTGAATAATGGAGACTTGCCCATGGAACGATAAGTGGGGAAGAGGTTTAAAATTGACGTACCAGGTTTAGACTATGACCTAAGGCCAAACATAATCTCTCACAGCCTTGCCTTCATTGGTCAGAACATTAAGTATAGGAGTTGGATGTCATGTTGCAGCTGTAAAAGACATTGGCGAGGCCACTTTTGGAATACTGTGTACAATTCTGGTTGCCCTTCTACAGGAAGGATGTCGTTAAACTTGAAAGGTTGCAGAAAAGATTTACAAGGATGTTGCTGGACCTGGAGGGTTTGAGCTATAGGGAGAGGCTGAATAGGCTGGGGCTATTTTCCGTTGAGGTCAGAGGCTGAGGGGTGACTTTATGGAGGTTTATAAAATCATGAGGAGCATGGATAGGATGAAAAGCCAAGGTCTTTTCACTGGAGTGGGGGAGTCCAAAACTGGAGGGGCATAGGTTTAAAGGGGTGGGGAAGATTTAAAAAGGACTTTTGGGGTAACGTTTTCATGCAAAGGGTAGTGCGTGTGTGGAATAAGCTGCCAGAGGAAGTAGTGGAGGCGAGTACATTTACAACATGCAAAGGGTATCTGGATGGGTATATGAATAGGAAGGGTTTAGAGGGATATGGGCCAAATGCTGGCAAATGGGACTAGGTCAGATTGCCTGTCTGGTCGGTGTTGATAAGTTGGACCAAAGGGTCTGGTTCTGTGCTGCATAAATCAAGATAAATCAATTAGAGAAAAGCCATAGCAAAATGTAGCACAGACAGTACAACTCAAGGCACAGGGTAAAAACTTTAAAGCTAGGATACAGTGTCTGGTTAAGGGAAAGGAAGTCAGAAACCATGGTCATCAGAGAAACAGATGCACTGAGATCTTGCACTGTCAGGACACTTGAAGGGATATTTAGTAGGAACAGGAGAGAACTGATCTCACTCAAGCCAATGAGTGAGACTGAGTATAATTATTACAGGATGTGGGCCAGCTACACATACGCTACATCAGACAGAGTGACACAGCTATTCCAGACATGGTATAACATCATCACTCTAGTGATGAACTCACACGAACCAGAACTGGATCTCATTGCCTCAGCCTATGAGACTTGAACTTTGAGATGTTTGGGGGAGGATCGTGATAGTACTATAAAAAATAACCTGGTGTTAATAATGAGATAACAAGGTGTAGAGCTGGATGAACACAGCAGATCAAGCAGTATCAGAGGAGCAGGAAAGCTGACGTTTCGGGTCTAGACCCTTCTTCAGAAACGTCAGCCTTCCTGCTCCTCTGATGCTGCTTGATCTGCTGTGTTCATCCAGCTCTACACCTTGTTATCTCAGATTCTCCAGCATCGGCAGTTCCCACTATCTCTGGTGTTAATAATGATGTTAATGATTGTGAAGAATATCTAAGTAAATTAAAAAAGTGCAAACTACTGGAATCATGTTGACCAAGTAAAGAAAATATGAGTGGAGATGTGATACAATGTGATATGATATGTAAGTCATATTGATGTAACTGACCACATGTCTCTGGGTTCAGTAAGAGAGAGGCAGCAGTCAAGAATGAGCGTGTAAGGAAAGAGACACTGCACTCGAGAGCTAGATTTGAACATCTGCCATGTGCAGATGTAAATAAAAGAATGTTTCAGTACATACAGAGTTGAAAAGCCTTGCTTAGAGTTCAGGAGCAAGCAGCCATGGGGACATGTATGTGCAGACATCCAGGGATACTCCAAATTGGTGTCTCATGAATGGGGAACGAGCAGTCTTGGCTTAAAGCACAAGATAAAACAACGAGCGTCTTACTAATTCACTCCAGCAGACAGTTAAGAGTCAACAGATAAACTAGATTGGGTAATGACAGCAGGATTGGACTGCCTCAGGTTATAATACCATCTGCTGTTCACTCCTAAGCTTTTATTATGCACTTCTGTACATAGCAGGTAACACACATGCCAACTCAGTTCTGTTACGGAGTGCCTTACTGAAAGGATGAACCAATGAATATCAATAACCTTTAATAAAGGTACATTTGCTCTCTCAAGTCAATTCAATTCAACAACACTGCGGCATTTTATTTTAAATGTTTATCTTCATTGTTCATAAAGAGTTGGATTTGTTTCTTTCCCATAGGTATCCCAGACTGAGTGTCAGATACAAGGAATCCATGACTGCAGGTTATAGTGTCTTCCAGAAATTCTCAGCTTACGTTAAGAATCCACTTCCTGAAAAGAATCAGGGTAAGTTTACCAGCTATGTGCTTCATACCTGAATGTTGTAACGGTGCTACACCAATTAAGGCCCACTTCTTTCAACTCATATTGTACAACTTCCTTCTGGAGTAGGCAAGAGGCATCAGTGATGGGAGGAATCCACACGATTGCCTTTGTTGCAGTTTTTGATGTTGAGCAGCCCTTGCTGCTGAGAATGACTGGTGTGACTGGTGACACATTCTTGCATTGTGCTAATAGCTGTCTCTGTTCAGCTTGCGAGACAGCATTCCTGAAAACATTAGTGGAGCTGGATCAATATCTGAACACCCCACTGCCACATGAAGATGGAAATTACCCATCGAAGAGGTTATTCCTGGATGGAGATGAGCTGACATTGGCTGACTGCAATCTCCTACCCAAACTCCACGTGGTTCAGGTGAGTCAGGTTTTAATGTCTTATCCTCGTCACTTGGTCCTCCCTCTTTCCAAAGAAGAGGTGTTTATTGCTTAACCTCTTCCTTAATTGGCAAGAGATTTAAAGGATGCAGGAGGCAGACAGGCACTACAATCACATCAGCCATGATCTTAACAAGTAGGATAGCAGTATCAAGGGGATGAGTGGCCTACTTTTGCTTCTAATGTGTTTCTTGCATGTACGTAGGTATGTGTTGGCATGGGAAGGTGAGGCTCATTCTGAACTAAGGGACCATTGTAACTGCTTCTGAATGAATTTTACTTCACCAGCCAATGAGTAAAAGGCAAGCAAATCGAAATTGTTCCAGGTGCTGAATGTTGGAGCTTGCTTCACCTTTATTTATTCTCACGGTAGAGTTTAGTTTGTTTGTCTTCTTTTGCTTTTGCATGGACTGATTGTGATAAACTGTTATACTTTTGTGATGAACTGATCTGCAATAGGGAGATTAGTGAGGATAAGTTCAAATAGGTCTTTCTCTCTTGGTTCCCTCACCACCTGTCACAGACCCAGTCTAGCAGCTATGCCCCTTAAGACTCAACTAGCTCAGTTAATAGCGGTATTGCTGAGCTACTGTTGGGGATGGATATTTAATTCCCCATCCAGAGTTAATTCTGTACCCCTGCCATCATCAGTGCTTCCTTCAAGTGGTGTTCAATATGGAGGAGCACTAATTCATCAGCTAAAGTGGGGGGAACAGGTGAAAATCAGTAGGAGGTTTCCTTGTCCATGTTTGACCTGATGCCATGAGATTTCATAGAGTTTGATGTCCTAGCAGTTAGTTTATATTATATGTTGTCGGACTACAGAATGGATCGTGGGCCCTGCTTTGTGTACTTTAAGATAGGTCTAATGGGCTTGTTCCAGGGTTGTTAGCACTCTGGATGGAGGAGCGCACTGGAATTGAAGACCATTTCTCTGTGCCAAAAGAGCAATAATCATATTCAATCACCCATTAATGGTTGATTTGTTTCTCTTGACTGTTCACCTGTCTTTTCAATAAACTCAAAAATTATACATTTATTTCAGGTAAATGTATTCTTCAAAACAAGTGGCAAACTGATTATCAACTAAGCTACTTTGCAAATTAACAAATATCCCCCTCAATCCTAAACATAGACAAATTGACAGACAGGTCATAGACATACCCACCTCGCAGTATTTAAAAATGGGTTGACTTTTCATGGTTCATTTGAATTCCTGTAGATGAGATCTGATTGTTGACAGTCATAGAATATGGAAAATCTTCAGATTATATTTCAGGTTCACCTGGGAAATAGGGGCACTGATATATGAAACTTTATCTAATTATGAAGCTACTCGGAGAGATATAGAGAGAACTGCTTATAGCTCCAAGCTGTGACTCTTACTAAGAGAGACACACACAGTCCTGCATCCCTGCAAATCTTTCTAGCAACTGTTCATAGCCTTTATGTATGTACTGAAAAAGCTCCTCAGTCCAGAGGCTGTTGCTAGGTGAAAGCAGCTTAGATCCGTCAAGGTTTTGCAGGTCTGTATGCTCAACAACTAAAGCAATAAAACTCATGCCCTATCTGTGTCTCAAAACTTTTCTGAACACTGCTTTCCAAAGACACTTCTTAAAAAACAAATTGAAATTTAAATGGAGAAAAGCTGCTGAAAGCTGCAACACACAGTGACTTTGGGGTACTTATACATGAAACACAGAAAGCTAGCATGCAGGTACAGCAGGAAATCAGGAAGGCTAATGGAATGTTGGCCCTTATTTCAAGGGGATCAGAATATAAGAGTAGGGAAGTCTTCCTGCAACTGTACAAGGTGCTGGTGAAGAGGATGTCTAGAGTACTGTGAGCAGTTTTGGTCCCCTTATTTCAGGAAAGATATCATTCCATTGGAGGCAGTCCAGCGAAGATTCTCGAGGATGATCCCTGGTATGGAGGGATTGTTTTATGACCAAAGAATAAACAGGTTGGGACTCTACGCACTGGAGTTTAGAAGAATGAGAGGTGATCTCATTGAAACTTATAGGTTTCTTAAGGGGCTTGACTGGGTAAATGCTGAGAAGATGTTTCTCCTTATGGGAGAGTCTAGGACCAGAGGGCATAGTCTAAGAATAAGACTGAGATGAGGAAGAATTTCTTCTCTCAGAGGGTTGTGAATCTTTGGAACTCCATGCTACAGAGAGCTGTGGGGGCAGATTCTTGTGTCTGTTTAAGGCTGAGATATGTAGATTCTTGATTAGTATGGGAATCAAAGATTACAGGGAAAAGATAGGAAAGTGGATGTGAGGAATGTCGGATCAGCCATGATCCTGTTGAATGGTGTAGCAGGCTCGAGGGGCTGAATGGCCTACTCCTGTTCCCATGTCTTGTGGTATTATGGTCTTTTGGTAAACAGCAAAAACATCAAAGTCTTCTTTAACATTTTGACTTCCTAGTTCCAAACAATTGCAACTGAATCATGTCCAAACATGTATTCCAAATTACATAATTTGTAAATATACATGGTCCCAACAGTATTCACATAGCTTGGTTTTTCAGGGGAAAAAAAATCATGATGAAATAGAACTGTTCCTTTGCTGAGAGATGGTTGAGGAAGGTTGGAGAGACACTTGTTAAAAATGAATATCAGCATAAACCTGTAAGGCCAAATTACCTGTTTCTAGGCTGCAGAATTATGTAATCTTATAATTTCTTCATCTCTCTGTGATCAGACAAATATTGAAGAAGTGCGAGGAAATATCTATCCAGTAGAGAATGAGAGCTTGGAAATCCTGACTATAGTTAGGTGCCAATGTTGACTTCAGTGCTCACATGGTATATTGTGGCTTGGATGTCACTGATAATCATTTAATTTCTTAACAGGTTGTGTGCAAGCATTATCGGAACTTTACAATCCCAAAGGAGCTTTCAGGCCTGTGTAGATACCTGAAGAATGCGGAGAAATGTGAAGAATTCATGAATACCTGCCCTAATGAAGAGGAGATCAAGTTGGCATATCGAAATGTTGCTAAATATTCAGATAGACATGGAGCAAAATCAGTAACTGGGAGATGATGTCTCCCAGTTGGAGATTTAAACTATCAAGCTTTGACCGAATGTGACATTCTTATGTACATCACCAACTTCTACTGCTGGATTTTGTGTTTATTTGAAATTTCCATTCTTAACAGGGCATTGAACCTCACTGCAAAACTGCATACATGCAACCTGCTACTGTGACCCAGGTCTCTAGGTCTTTTACAATTGACATCTAAGAAATGAGGGGAATGTACAATAGGGTTAATGTTGGTATAATACAATTCCCTCAAAATCTCAACTTTGCCTGGGAATGATTTTACACAATTTATAGCAAGTCAGTCTTTAGATCATTAGTGCACTTTTAAATTGAGGATTCCAATCATCTGACATTGACTCTGTATAAAGACATCCTCACAAAAACCACTGAATTCTCTGTTAGTGAAATATTGCCAACACATCCAAAAAAAAAGTTTAAATTGAAGTTGCAAAAAGTTAATTTTGTGTATTATTTATAAAAGTGTTTGTAGTTAATGAGAAAATTAGAGGTGGCGTGGATGGGGAGGTTGTGTTTTGTGCAAGTCTAGTCTCCAGAAGAATTGAGATGTTTCATAACATGGCCACCAAGGTTTTGTGGAATTAACAATGTACATTTTCTCAAAGAAAACTATGTTTGTTGTTCTAGAAGTCCACATGTAGAGTTTGCAGCTTGGTGGGAGTCCAGAGAAAAATGAAACATTTTGGACCAGCTAAGATACAAAAGAAAGTAAAGTGAAAAAAAGATGATTGGAATAAAGTCATGTTAAGGCAAGTTTTACCTCATTCTAATGAATTGCCAATTCCCTCCCTAGCGCTGCCTGCATTCCATGGACCACAGTGGTTCAAAAAGGCAGCTCACCACCACCTTCGCAAAGGCAAATGGTGGTGGGTAATAAATGGTGATCCAGCCAGTGACACCCACACCCACAGGCAAATACACTTTTTTAAAAAAAAATTGCATTGTTGAATGGAAATAAAACAGGAAAAAGTGACCGGGAACTTTGCTGTATTTAGCGAAGGTCCGGCAACATACATCATTCGTTAAGATGTCCAGCTAGATAAAACTGCTGATCACGGAGACAGAGTGTGATTTATTAAAGAGTAAGTAAGTAATTGAATGTATGTATTTAATTTCCCAACTTGCATCAGATTTCAGCCATTTTTGTGAGGGTGTCTGTTAAACACATTTAGGGTACAATCTTAATTAACAGTCAGAACGTTACATAGTAGAGTTACAATTAATCACTTGTATAATGAATTTAACTTTCTGATGAGATTTTTTTGTTACAGGCTATGACTTAGATGCTGCTTAATTTTCATTCTTATTGAGTTCCATTAATTCTGGGAGAGCTATATTAATTATCATTGATTAATGCTGATGAAGGATGCTATCAAATTCCCATTCTGCCAATAGAAAAACTTCAACCTTGATTATACACGTCCCCAAATTAGAATTATTCTGTTGTTGCCAAGGTAGCCATGAAGAGATTATCTAGCGATAGATACATGATTGCATTGATACAGCGCCTTTCACAGCCTCAGGATGTTCCAAAACACTTCAATAACAATATTTTGAGCCTTTTGCTACCACTTTCCAAGGACTGTCTTGTGAGGCAGTGAAGAACATGAGGTGTGAACGAGGTATTTTTCTAATCAATCTGTGCAGAGAAGTCATTGTAAAGCTGTGGAGTAGGTGCCAATTTGAACCCAGGCCTCCTGGTCCAGTGGTGAGGACACTATCACTACACAGCGAGGGCCCCTGTTCTCATTTCTGTTGTAACACTGGAGCTGCCCATTCCAAAGTTGTGGTTGGAAGTTTATTTAGGCAGGAAGTGGTTCTGAAAACTTTGTGTTTCCTATTAACTGTCAGGGATAACAGCAGTCGCAATATATTTAATCATTTGCTTAGTAGTACAGAGCTTGAATGTTGCTGAATAGAGATATGTTGCTGAGGCTTTTTGACTTGTATCAGGACAAACACAAGAATGTCAAATTTCAAACAATCACAACATCTTATACAAAAGGAGATAAAGGTGGGAGAACAGAGGGTGCTGATTGGGTGGTGAGTTAACTCTGATTGGTGGAGGTGTTGCTATGGGGAAAGCAACAGGGAGCTTGAGGCTTCCATTTAATCTACAAAGGACGAGCCAGAAAAAGGGGCCCTGAGTATGAATATATGTTGCTTCCAGCAAGTGAACCACATTACAAGCTCGACTGATTACTAGTCAGTCCCATTTTCACCTGAGGTGCAAATTGCTGTGACCGTTAAAAATTCGGAGTTCTTGCAGAAGTTAGGACATTGTTCATCATTTTAAAAAAAAATGGTGAAAATTTAAAACTGTCTTCTACAAGAGATGAGGTAGAATACAGATCAGAGCCCTTGAGCGCATTGATATGCAGAGGGATCTGGGTGTGCAGGTCCACAAATCACGGAAGGTGACAGCGCTGGTAGATAAGGCAGTAAAAAAAGGCCTATGGCATGCTTGCTTCAATGGAGGGGGCATTGAGTATCAGGGTCGTCAAGTTATGTTGCAGCTTTATAGAACTTTATTTCGGCTACACTTGGAATATTGCATACAGTTCTGGTCACCACACTGCCTGAAGGATGTGGATGCTTTGGAGAGGGGACAGAAAAGGTTGGCCAGGATGTTGCCTGGTATGGGGGATTTTAACTATGAAGAAAGGTTGGATAGACTGGGTTTGTTTTAACTGGAACACGGGAGGTTGAGGAGTAACCTGATAGAAATTTGAGAGATTATGAATGCCATAGATAGAGTGGAAATTATGAGGCTTTTTCCCAGGGTGGAGGGGTCAGTTACTAGGGGGCACAGGATCAAGGTTTTTTATTTGGGGGGGGGGTAGTTTAAAAGAGATATACAAAGCAAGTTTTTCAGATAAAGGGTGTTGAGTTCCTGGAATGCCAGAGGGGGTCGTGGAAGCGAACACAATAGTAGCAATCAAGAAATACTTGGACAAATACATGAATAGGAAGGGAATAGAGGGATAAGGAGCCTGTAAGTGAAGACAGTTTTAGTATGGAAGGGCAAAATGTGTCGGTGCAGGCTTGGAGGGTTGAAGGGCTGTTCCTGTGCTGTATTGTTCTTTGTTTGTCCTGATGGTGCAAGAGCGATAATATGTGGAAATCTGTGAAACGGTTCTTCTGGTGCTGCTCTGAAATTGGGGTGGCTTCACGTCCCTTCCAATGTTTAACGTGACCACTTTGCTGCTACAGATGGTTTGGGTTCTGTGAGCATTGAATATTAGTTCAGTTGCATGTTACCCTCCTCTCCATGTGATCTAGATGGAATGACCTGCCTCTAACAGCTCTGCACAGTCAAAAATCACATTATAACATTCCAAATAATTGTACAATTAATGAAGAAATGTGTTTAAAAAAAGGATTTTGTTTTTGTTCATGCTCCAATGATTTTTCTCATGGATTTGTTCAAATTTTGTGCCTCAGAGATTAACTTGCAAATCCTCAAGGGTTGGCAATGCCAGTCCAGTTGTGTTTAAAAGCCCACCGTATGAAATACTTCCAGATCTAGATACTGAAACTTACACCCTGGTTTTGCTGCTGTATCTTTACATTTTTTATATTAATAATCAGTGCAGACTGTAGATTAACGGACTACAGTACTGATCTGAGTTCAGCATACATAGAAGACAGTCTGCCCACAGACAATACAGTGTGGAGCTGGAGGAACACAGCAGGTCAGGCAGCATCAGAGGAGCAGGAAAGTTGACGTTTCGGGTCAGGACCCTTCTTCAGAATTCTGCAGTTCTTGCTATTTCTGAGTCTGCCCATGGACGTCTGATTCCTGAGTTGTTGTTGGGGTTTCACTACTTTAAGAGATCAAGCTTTTAAGTGTATTTAGTGTTTCAAATGCCTAATCTTTAAACCTTGTATGTTGTTAGTAGTTTTACCAAGAATAAGCTATCTTTATCACTTCTGATTTATGATTTCTGTTGTGCAATTCAAAATAAGGCAAAATTATGCGTCTTCTATTAATAAAGTTGAGTATTTTAGACAAGTGCTTTTCATCACAATTCCCACTGTTTGGAGGATCCCCTTTCATATTTACTGAGAATTTGCTTCACTTTCCCATGCCCTAATTGTAAATTCCCTTCTAAATCCAGCACAGAAGTCAGCCGAGAAAGACCTTCATTCCAAGTACAATCACTAAGGAATCTTGCATTAGCTAATAGACTGGGAAGTGTTGGGAATGCTCCAGTTAGTCTCAGTTTACCAGTTTGGAGATGATCAAAAACCAATCAAAGTAGCACACTTTTTCAATTCATTGATCTCCCATCCCTAACTGGTTAAGAGTCAACCACATTGCTGTGGGTCTGGAGTCACATGTAGGGCAGACCAGGTAAGGATGGCAGTTTTCTTCCCTAAAGGGCATTATTGAATCAGATGGACTTTTCCTGACAATCAACAATTGACTCATGGCCATTATTAGATTCTTAGTTTCAGATTCTTTAGTTTCCACCATCTGCCATGGCAGGATTCGAGCCCAGGTCCTTACCTGGTTCTCTGGATTAACAGTCCAGTGATAATACCACTAGGCCGTTGTCTACCCATGTTCATTCCTGCTTCAAGGTGCCTGTGAATGGGTATCAGACATGGGTAGAATTTGGTGTCTTTAGGCTCTTCTACAATGGCTCCCAAATCCGCAACCTCCACTGAGACTTTGTAAAAGCACCAGATACAGTGGGAAACCATTATTTCCACATTAATTCCTAAACACTCGTGGATATCTTTGTGCCTTCATTATTGCTGGGCCAAAATCCTCACTCAACAGGAGAGTGGGACAATATTCCCTCCTTGGCACGTGAAACACTTTTCAATCTTTTAGTGCAAATCAAGCGACTTGTGCATGGAAACTTTCAGGTTGCTCCTCAGAAGGAACGTTGCTGTGGGGTTGCATTCATAATTTAGATTACAGTATTCAAGAAGGTGAGTTGCCAGAGGTTTTTCAAGAGCGGCTGGGGATGGATAGAAAATAACCAGAGATGTTCACATCCCAACACTGGATAGCGTACCATCATTTAAGAGGGATATTGGCACCAGATAAGACAGGGAATAAAACTTTGGGTGAATGGTAAATGGCTCAAAAACTAAGTAGTGTCCCAAATGCACTTTTAAAAAAAAACACAATTCTTATATTTTGCATCATGGTCATACTATTGTGTATCCATGGATATTCGTATCACATTCTAATCCTTAGTATCATATATTTAAGATGTTATCTCTCTCTGTCCGTTAGTCTCTCAAACAAGAGGGACACTGTACAGGCTAGAGTCTGTGACAACAAAGGAGGTGTTGCACTGCAGCGACCACAGGCCGATTCTTCCACTCTTAGCACATTGGACAAACGCGCAGGTTAATGGTCTGCGTTTGGCCATGTTACAAACACACCTTTTATGGTCAATAGATCCTGGAATGGGACTTGTACCCAAGGCATCTGGCACAGAGGCTGGGATATCACCCACTGTGCCACGTTAAACAAATTCACTGCTCATGAAACGATTAGTGGTGTAGCTGAATTGTTTGCATATCCTTGAATAAAACCCTGTATGAACACCATCGTTTCTACTTATTTGTCAGTCATGTTACATGCAAGATGGCTTGGAGTTGGTTAAACAGCCTTTCTCTCTCTCTGGGATGCTAAAACTCCAGGCTTCCCTCGGAAACTCCGGCTAACCGGTTGACATTATTCTGGACAAAAAACATTTGACGTTCATTCTTTTGAGTTTCTAGCTGGCAGCCATCGTTCTATGTGCAAGACACGTCATCACTTTCATTTGCTGAGAACTGTTTTTGTTGTTTCAAGGCTTCCATGTTGTTGGATGCACCCAATTTTACTCACATTTAGAAATAAATGAGTTATTTATTGTAACATATATCTAGAAGGATACAGTTTTGTCGCAACAAGCCAGCACCATTTTGAGTTACAAAAAGAAATTATGTAAATAGAATTCATCCTTTGTACAATGGGTCTTCAAACACAGCCCCAGCATTTCTGCAGGGGGTCCAGGGCCTCAAGGAGTCTCTGCTCCAGACACAGCAACGACAACTCCACCAAGGGTCCACGCTCCTGGCACCACCTCCGCCAATGCCCTGCTGACACCACTCTAGCTTCCCCACAATGTTAGAAGATGAAGAAACAACTAAAGAGATAGAAAAAGACGAGAAAGGATATGGGCTTTTCAGTGATAGGCGGCATTGCTTTCTGCAGGCGAGGTCATGTCTCACAAAATTGATTCAGTTTTTTTGAGGAAATGATAAAATCAATGAGCGCGGGGCGGTGAATGTTGTTATATGGGCTTTGACAAGGTCCCACATGACAGGCTAATACAAAAGGTGAAGTCACGTGGGATCCATAATGAGCTGGCAGGCTGGATACAGAACTGGCTTAGTCACAGAACTCAGAGTAGTGGTGGAAGGGTGTTTTTCTGACTGGAGATCTGTTACCAGTGATGCTCTGCAGGAATCAGTGCTGGGACCCCTGTCATATATAGGAATGATTTGGAGAAGAATGTACATGGCCTGATTGGTTTGCAGATGACACAAAGATTGGGGGGAGCTGCCGATAGTGAGAAGGATTGCCAGAGGATACAGCTGGGTATGGTTAGGCTGGAGGCTTGGTCAGAGAAATGGCAGATTAAGTTTAATCCAAACAAGTGTGGGGTAATGCATTTTGGAAGATTTAATGCAGGAGGGAAGTATACAGTAAATGGCAGAATCCTTAACAGCATCAACATACAGAGGAATCTATGCATCTAGGTCCATAATTCCCTGAAAGTGGTCAAGAAGGTGCTTGCCTTCAGTCAGGACATAGAGTATAAAAATTGGCAAGTCATGTTGAAGCTGCATACAACGTTAGTTGTGCCACATTTGGAATACTGTGTACCGTTCTGGTTGTCACACTACCAGGATGTGAAGGCTTTGGAGAGGGTACAGAAACATTTACCAGAATGTTCCCTGGTTTGGAGGATATTAGTTGTAAGGAGAGACTGGACAAACTTGGTTCGTTTTCGAGGTTGTTGACTTGCTCGCCGAGCTGGCTTGTTCTCGTTCAGACGTTTTGTCACCATGCTAGGTAACATCATCAGTGAGGCCTCCAATGAAGCGATGTTATTCTACTCTGCATGGAATTTATACTGTCCGGTCCGTCATGGTGAGTAGTGTCATTTCCGGTTTTGATCTGTGTGGGTTTGTATATGGGGTCCAGTTCTATATGTTTCTTGATTGCATTATGGGTGGAGAACCGTGCCTTTAGGAATTCCCGTGCGTGTCTATGATTGGCTTGGGTTATTATGGTTACGTTGTCCCAGTTAAACTGATGGCCTTCATTGTCCCAGTGTACTGATATTAAGGAAGGTTTGTTGTGTCGTTTTACTGCTAGCTGATGACAAGGATTAAAGACCCCATTCCCAAAACATGCAGAACAAATGTAGTTTACAAAATACCATGCAACGACTGCCACAAACATTACATCGGACAGACAGGAAGGAAACTAACCATCAGAATACACGAACATTAGCTAGCAGTAAAACGACTCAACGAACTTTCCCTAATATCAGTACACTAAGACAACAAAGGCCATCAGTTTAACTGGGACAAGGTAACCATAGTAGCCCAAGTCAAACATAGACACGCACGGGAATTCCTAGATGCATGGTTCTCCACCCGTGATGCTATCAACAAACACATAGAATTGGACACTATATACAAACCCATACAGAACAAAACTGGAAATGACACATGGTCACCATAACGACCAAACAGTATAAATTTCAAGTGAAGTAGAACAACATTGCTTCATTGGAGACCCCACTGATGATGTTACCTAGCATGGTGATGAAACGTCTGAACGAGAACAAGCCAGCTCGGCGAGCAAGTCAACAACCTCACCCACAACCCGAGCTACAGATCTTTGCTATAACCTTGGTTTGTTTTCACTTGAACTTCAAAGCATAAGGGGCGACCTGATAGAAGTTTACAATATTGAGATTCTTGGATACAATAAATAGTTGGAGTCTTTCTCTCAAGGTAGAAATGTCAATTACTGGGGAACACAGGTTTAAGCTAAAAGGGGAGAAAGTTTAAAGATGATGTGAGAAGCAATTTTTTTTTTACACAATATGGTATTTGCCTGGAATGCACTGCCAGAGGAGGTGGTGGAGACAGATACAATAGCTACATTTAACAGTCATCTTGACAGATGGATGAATACGCAGGGAATAGAAGGATACGGATTGAATTGAGATAAAAGGTTTTTAGTTTAGAAAGCGTCACATCATTGCAATCATGATGGGCCAGGGGCTTATTCCTGTGCTGTACTATTCTTTGTTCAGTTGTCAGGCCTGTTTATCACTGCTGCTTCTTGCTTGCAGGAGCCAGGCTGACACTTCAGTACAGTATTGAGGAAGTGCTGCCTTTCAATGAGCCTGAAAATCAGACTGTGCCTACCCTCTCAGGTAGATATAAAACATCCCATGGGACTATTAACAGTAGGAGAGTTCTCCTCATGTTCTAGTCAATGTTACCCCATCATCGATGTCACAATTGTTATTAGGTTTCTCTTTGTTGGGTCTCTAGGCCCGAAACGTCAGCTTTCCTGCTCCTCTGATGCTGCTTGGCCTGCTGTGTTCATCCAGCTCTACACCTTGTTATCTCATTACATTGAGGGGTAGTCTTGCATTGTAGTGGGTAGTGTCCCTACCTCTGGGTTCAAGTGCCAGGTTACCTGCTCGAGTTGGCCATAGTAGGGGCATTTATAGCCAAATTCTCAGCCTGAAAATCCTTCTCATTCACCTAATGGCAGGCAGTGAGGGTTGGGGGCATTTCCTGGTCAGCCATCCTGCACAGGGCGATGGAAAACAATTGCAGTGCTTTGCTCAGCAACAATGACCAATCCAACAGATGTTCATGGCCCAATCCTCAGCAGTGAGGACAGGACAACAGACAGGACAGAAAGGCAGCCCACACTTAAATTAGCACTTTCAGCTCTTTGGGACATCCTGAGGTCATGAAAGGAGCAACAATGCAAACCTTTCTCAGTGAACTACAGTTGATGAATTGTGGATGATGTTCCAAAGAATCAGTTACATAATGGGTGAAAAATTTTGTTTTATCCATATTACACTATCACTGAACTCAGAGCCCTTTGTGTGAACTATACCAGATACAGAGTGCACTGCATATTGTGGAGTAAGTTGAGGGCAGCACAGTGGTTAGCCCCACTGCCTCACAGCACCAGAAACCTGGCTTCAATCCCACCCTCAAGCCAGCATTTGTGTGGCGTTTGCACATTCTCCCCGTGCCTGTGTGGGTTTCCTCTGTGTGCTCCGGTTTCTTCCCACAGTCCAAAGATGTGCAGGTTAGGTGGATTGGCCATGCTAAATTGTCCATAGTGCCCATGGATGTGCAGGATGGGTCGGTTAGCCATGGGGAATGTAGGGTTACAGGCATAGTGGGGAGGAAAGAGTCTGGGTGGGATGCTCTTCAGAGGGTTGGTGTGGACTTGGTGGGCCAAATGGCCTGCTTCCACACTGTAGGGATCCTGTGAGTACCTTTCTTTCTACTTTCGATCTTTAATTTTAAAAAGCCATATAAAATAGCTCGTATTTTTATTGTTTGTTAAACAAACAGAGACAGCATTTCCTTTTTTAAAGTTCATATCTATCGTTGCCTAAAAGAAATAAATAATGGTAAAACCACACTTTCCCTATAAATATTCCCAGCAAATCCATGTTGAACCCAATCAAATGCTTCACTCATCACTGTCATCGAGGACATTGTCTTCAAAACTCACTCCAGTGGGAGCCTTTGTTCTACAAAAAAAAAGAGACAGGATGTATCAGTCACAAAGGGAATACAGCCTTTGCTGTGCAGACAGCACCACCTACAACAGTGGCTATACTTCGTGAGTACTTCATTTGCTGCAATCGGGAAAGGTGCTAAATAAACGCAAAAGCCAGATTTGTAGATGTCGGGCGAATCCAGAGATGGGCACCACTGACCCTTCAGGCAGGGGGTGAGGGTGACCTGCCTGCTATTGGTACTGAGCTAATGGATCTAGCTGAAGGCCTTCAGGCCCCTGAGGCATCAGGGCATATGGAACCTGCCAGGAGGTGA